CCCCCGCCCCGGGGCGGGGCCCTCCCCCCCCCAGCTGCAGCAGCGTCTTCTCCTGCTCCGACCTCAGCAGCAGCTCATTGTCCTCGCCTTTGAAGTTGTCGCGGTAGTGCCTCCTGTTGTAGGGGACCCTCATCCTCTGCAGGACGCCCATCTTGTTCTCCAGCAGCCGGAACTGCAGGCTCTGGAAGCCGGAGGCCGGGGATAAGTACTCTCTGTGGGCGGCAGGGAGAGGAGAGGAGACGGTCTGTCATCATGGCAGGGCCGCGGGGTGAGGCCATCCTGCTGGCCTGGGCGCGTGAGGACAGACACGCCACGCCTGGTCTGACTGTGCCCGGCCCTTGTGGATGTGAGAGGCCGTCTCTTTCACTCAGTTTAGGTCGGAGTCTGTGCAGCTGTGAAGTGTCACACTCATTTAAATACCCACTTGCAGGGTCGCTGTACGGCACATTCTATACACACATCTGCCGTGAGCGCATGTGGAACTGACATGTGCACACCTTTGTATGCGTGTGTTAAGTGCATAACGGAGACGCACTGTCCGTGTAACGAGTGTGTGTGGACTGGACTCTGCCCTAGATAAGGACGGGGACACCGGGCAACCTCGTTGCCAGGGGCTAGGACGCTCTTGCACACTTGGTCCCCTGACGGCTTACACCCTGAGACAGCACAGGGACTCGCTGTCCCGTCTTGTCATGAGGACAAGGACAGGCTCCCCCTCCCCAGCAGGCCAAGCTACTCTCCCACCCCAGGCGCCGTGCCCGCACAGTCTGAAGCGGCCTTCCCTCGTGAGGGCCGAGCCAGGCAGTAAGACCCACTGCAGAGTAGAGTCGGTCGTCCTTGGACCGTCTGCAGGCTCAGAACACGCCCGTTGTATTTTGCCCGTCGCTGAGGATGGCACCGGGCTGAGGGGCAGTGGAGCCTGCCTGGTGCGGCCCAGCCTGCCATGCACCACGCCCGGTGCGGGGCCACCGACAGTCGCTCTGAGCACTCCACGCTGCCTTGGGTTAAGGGAGTCGTTTCTTTTTGTTCTCTGTTTAGGTTTTTGCCAAAGGGCACGTGTGTTCCCTGGAGAGAGGCAGAGACGGGAAAGTGGAAAGTCACCCCCAGGGGATGCCTCGCCACAACCTCTCCTCCTCCATCCTTCCCCTGGGGCTCACCAGGTGTGGTTTCCAAGCTGTGGTGGACCCGTGGTAGTCCGGGGCTTTAACCACCACGCCACCTTCTGGCCCCAGTGCTCAGCTTTTAAATTCCTAGTACATGCGTTTTCTTAGTCACTTTAGCCATTGGGCCAAGTTATCCAAACACCCATCAGGAGAAATCGGCCCTCACAATGAACTGAAACACATCAGCCACCTCACGTGTGCCAAGCCGTGACTTGGAGTTTGTACTCCAGTGCGAGGGTCTGGCCCTCGTGGCACCTGTCGCGGCACAGCCCTGAGTTGCCCACCCAGGAGGGGTGCTTGGCCACGCCCACGGAGCCGGCTCACCGGAAGTCGCTGAAGTCCAGGGCCGTCAGGGTGTCCAGCACAGAGAACTGCTGCACCAGCAGCCGGAGGACCGCCACCACCCGGTGCATCCGTGTCACCACCTTGAGCATGTTCCGCTCATCCCGGACCTGCGTGCAGGACACATGTCAGCACGGCTGAGGCCAGCGGGACCTCCGTGAGCACTCCTGCCCCTGCGTCTCTGCAGGGCATGCTGAGCTACGGCCTGCCACATACACGGAACCGATAGCAGCCCTGAACAGGCACAAGAGCATCTGCAGACCAGAACCATTTCTCTGTCTTTAAAAATAGGAAATTTTATGAGAGCAAGGGAGAAAAATTCTGGAACTCAACTTGTACTGATTTCAAAGCAAGTCTTTCTTTAGTTTTGCTTCAGAGAAGAAAGGTTAAAGTGTCAGGCACTTCTGGATGGGGGTTGGCAGGGTTGGGCTAACCCTGCTCTGGGCGAGGTCACGGCCCACGGACCCTGCGGGAATGCGTCCCTGCACTGCCTGCCCTCCACAGGAGGCCTGCCCACTGCTGCACCCTCGCCCTCCTGTCTCCTGGCCGCCCGCTCCCATGTCCCACCCCCGCCCCTTCCTTTAGACTTTCTGCTGCCTCACAGCCAGTGTCCACACCGGTTCGTGGTCTGTTAGCCTCGTGGCCTTCCACCACTTACAGCACCCGTTTTTCTTTTTTAAAGGATTTTTTGGGGGAAATGACTACAAATGAAGGGCTTGGTCCAAAATTGGACAGAAGCCTAAAAACCTGTGGTCCTGGGGAGCAGAGGCCCAGGGAAAATGCCACTGAACTACCCCAGAGAAAGCAGTAGTTGTTTTATTGTTAGGTAGTAATTTTGAGGCTGGTGTTACATTTTTCTTACTAGTAATATTTTCTATATTTTCAAAAATATATGGAATATCATGGAATAATGACTTACATGTCCACTCTGAAATATCTCTCGAACAGAATCTAATTCCCAGAGAATTTGCTTAAACCATAGTTCATAGGCTGCAATGAGAAACCATCAATTGGAAAGTTACAAGAGCCTCTTTGACTGTAAGTATCTGAGAGAAAAGGTTAAAATATTAAAAGAGAATGAAACCATGACATTAAAATCAATCTGCGTAATGTGGTCCTGTTCGTGCTAGGAGTAATGTTAGTGCTGAGGTTACAGCGGCTCCCTGCCATTGAATCCCAGCTCCCGGGCCATCACTCTCGCCTTCTGTTCTCATGACAGACCTTCCTCTCCAGAAGCTCGTGGGAAATGCAATTATGCCGGCACAGGCTTTCAAATCGAGCACGGCATTTCATAACACGCGTTGCCCGTGAACTTGTTGAAGACCCCTCATATTTTTATTGTCTGTTGATTTAAATGAATCAAATATCTGTGAATCGGTTTCTGCACCTCCTTCTCAGGGTTAGTGGATGGGAGGATGGAAGGAGGCGTCTCCGTGGCCCAGAGCCGTGGCCCTGGTCGTGCGCTGTGCCTGGAGGAAGCAGGGACACATGTGGGCTCACACCGCCTTCCCAGGAGCTCTGTGAGCCTGCTCCATTTCACAGACCAGGATGTCGCCATCCTGAGACCCAGGCAACCTGACCTCGTCACGGTTCACAGTGACAGAGACGGATCCTCCACCGCTTTGAGGGCCCAGACCTGCCTGAGCCATAACACCCCCTTTCCTACGCGGCCTGCTATGAGCCCCCGGGGCGATGTGAGCGCTGCAAAGTGGGAGAGGTGGCCGTGAGCCCAAGGGCCACCTTCGCTCAGAGAAGTCTGTCGTGCGGACCAGCAGTGAAACCAGCGTGGAGGAAAGGGCTCAGTGGCCGCCAGGGTGAGGCCAGAGGCCCTGATGGTTGGAGGATGCTGTCACGGCAGGGATGGTCTCAGCGAAGAGGAGTTAATATTTGGGGTCCCGGACCCCCTTAAGATACATCCCATGACACTCCGAGTGATTCCCGGACCTTCTGCCTCCTGAGGTCACAGGCCGTGGTTAAGCCAGGCCACAGGGTCAGCGTGTGGACATCACAGAGACCTTGGCGAGGAGAGTTCGCCTCCCTCAGTGCTAGTTCTGTGTAGGGCCACGCAAACCCACATACTTCCCTCGACCGTTCTTGAAAACAGTTTCCCGAAGTTCCAAGATGAGCTACAGTGACATCGTAGCTGCAAATTCTTTGTGAAACCCCAGGAGATGGAAAGCCCCCTTGGAGTCAAGATCAAGCTTAAACCCTCCCTGACCACATAGCAGTGAAGTGAGGGAAGAAGACACTTCCCAGAAAGTGGCCATGAGCATTCATCCAGCAGAAAACATGCTCAAGGGGCCCTAGCAGCGGGATCTCTTCATATCACACGAGACGCCCCGGAACGGTGCCGCCCAGCCCTGGCACACTCACCTTGGTGGGTTATGATGAAAAGGTGCTCATCATGGATTTTATTTCCTTTTATTTCACTTTGAAGTTCTTGTGCATTCAAAATTTTATCCAACTTTAAATGAAAAATAGAAACACTGATTTTGAAATTGCAGGAGTTGTATTTTTATCCTCCTTAAGTAGACGGCAATCCTGGAACTGGGTCTTATCTAAGTTCCAAGTTCTTAGAGAGACCAATTACTTCTTTTCTTTTTTGAGAGGTTTTTGCTATAGGGCACATGCGCTCACCAGAAAGAGAGAGACAGAGAGTGAGAAATCATCCCCCAGGGGGATGGCCATGCTGCAATCCCTTCTCCATTCTCCTCTCAGGATCTTGGGCACACACACACACACATGCACCCAGTGTGAGTTTTAAGCCACTGGGTCCAGGACTTAAACCATGGTCAACTACATGGGAGCCTAGCCACATAGCCATTACGCCAACTGCTGGTCCCAGAGACCAATTATTTCCTATAAAAATTAATGAATCTTATCATAAAGGGTGAATTGAATGGGTGACTTTTATTATTAAGAAAATCCCATCTGATAGATTTTTGTTTTTAATTCCCACAGGGTACGTGCTCTCACTAAAGAGAGACAGAGAGACACAGAGAGGGAGAGGAAGAGAGCACCCCCCCATGGGATGGTCACTCACAACCCTTCGCCTCCATTTCTCCATTCTCAGGATTTGGGGCAAACACACATGCCCCCAGAGTGTTTTCCAAGCTGCCACGTGGGATTTAAACTGCGAGTGGTCGTGTGGGATCCAGCCGCCTACCCACGGGGCTGCAGGCCAGCCCCACCCACAGGAGTCTGCCGCTGCAAACCCATCAGAGCCCGCCCAGCTCAGGAGAGGCCTACAGTGCTGGCTCAGGGGTGTGCCTGTGCCTGGACACCCCTCGCCCATCCCGGAGGAGCCTCTTTGGGGAAGATCCCGACCCTCTCTGTCAGCTCATCCTTAGAGACCCATCAAGGAAAGCTCCAGGGGCTCTAGGCGTTTTGCTTCTTAAAAACATAATAGGAGGCGAGGCTGAGGCTTACTCAGAACGAGTCCCCAGGCGACTCACTTGCTGAAACTCCTCTTTCATTTACTGAGAGGGACAGAGTGTGCACCTGCCCCACATCTGCTTCGTGAGGTGAGAGGAGCGTTCTGGAGGACGGGCCTTTCTGGCACGGGTGGGACTCGCTAATATGTCTGTTTACAGCCTATTATGCAACAGTGGCTGTCCACACTAGCTCTCTCGGCCAGAGGCCAGGTCACGCTGCAACTGTGTCTCGGCCGGAGCCAGGAGCTGTTCTGACAGAAGTCGGAAGATGGTACTCCTGTGTGAACAGGGACGTCCCTAGGTCCAGAGGACCAGGGTGACTGAGCAAAACCCAAGTCCCCAGAACATGAAGTGTCACTCAGAGTTCTGCGCCTTCTCGAGGAGCAGCCACACACCTGCAGGTAGTCCCCGTAGACGAGCCCTCCTTTGCTGGCTCTGTTCACACCAGTCTGCGACTGATCTTCACCTTCCACAGAGAGGGTTTTGAAAGAGTACCTGCAGATTTAACAGACAGGGAAAACAGCTTGCAGAAACACAGTTAACCCACGATTCAGGGAATTAAAACGATCCACTGCTAGTTTCGTTTGGAATAGATTACCATGCAGCGCATTATTATCGGGGTGACCATTTCGATGTTCTTTAAAGTGCTGTACTTGGCACTTCAAGAGCCCACCCCCACGGGACAGAAGGACACTCACCCAAGGCTGTTGCGGAGAAAGGGGCACCCGCTCATGGTGCTGGCGGTCGGGAGGGAATGGCGGTGCCTTCCCAGGAGATCTACGGCTGCTCTTTATGGGCCCCACTCTCTCTGCTCCAGCCAATCCCCTCCTCGTTTGCCCAGCTGGGCCCTCACTTCCGTGGTGGAGCTGAACCTGCCGCCTGGAGGGTGGATTTATGTGGGTGCTATGTTTGCCTGAAGGCTGCCAGAGCCCATCACTGGACTTGCCAAGCTCTGCTTCTGTGGCCAAAGGAACAAAGATCGAACAAATCAATAGAGGCCAAAGTAAAAAAATATCATCTGACTACTCTATTCCAACAGCACGTTTGACACAGTGCTCGGACATGTGAGAGGCTGAGCCTGTAAAACACAAAGTCTGCTCTCGAGAGTAGACGCTC